AATGAATGAATGAATGGATGGATGGATAGAAGGATGGATGGTGTAGGAGGTCATTCTGTTTATGTGTTGCTTTCATTGATTAATGAATAAAGAAACTGTCTTGACCTTTTGATGGGGCAGAACTTAGGTAGGCAGAGAAGACAGACTGAATTCTGGAAGGAAGAAAACAGAGTGAGGGAGAGATGCCATGGATCCACTGCCTGAGATGGACACTGATTAGAATCTTGCCAGTAAGCCACAGCATTACACAGATTAATAGAAATGGGTTAAATTAAGATATAAGAATTAGCCAATAAGAAAATAGAGTCAATGTGCCAAGCAGTGTTTTAATGAATACAGTTTCTATATGATTATTTTGGTGCTTAGCTAGCTGGGCAACCAAGACAAAACAGCAGTCTTCCAAGCAGCTCAGAGGCACAAGCGGACGGACAGACGGACGGACGGACAGATGGATGGATGGATGAGTGGGTGGATAGATGATGTCTATATCTGCATGACTGGCTGTGTGACAGATAAAGTGTTTACTCCAGAGCGCCTTATATTTAGAGTTCAGGGCTCTTGTCAAATAATTGATAAGAACCAAACTGAGTCTTCTATTCCTCTGAAACAGTCAGACATATTTTCCCAACTTCATTAATAGATGTCTTCATTTTTGGCAAATATCTAAAAAAAATAGACTGCATTAAATGGTCCACTCTTTTAACTAGATTCACCGAATGTTAACTTTTTTATTGGATGTTTTCAGGGGTGCTTGGAAGTTATAAATACTGATAAAACATAAACCTTGGCCTCCCAAGGTCATGATCTAATTGAGAGTCATGTTTAGGATGCTCATTGTTTATGAACTTCATAATTGTGAATTTGTTTCTTTGTTATTTTTAGTGACTGGAGAGATGGCTCAATGGTTAAAAGCACTTGATATTCTTACAAAAGACCTGGATTTGATTCCAGCACCCACATGAGCAGCTTATAATCATCTGTAATGCCACCTCCAGGGTACTCATTGCCCTCTTCTGGCCCCTGTGGGCACTGCACACACATGATACACATAAGATGAATAATATATATTAAAGTATGATTTTTTAACACCAAAACTAATATGCTCAATATTTTTGAGACCTTTATTTTACTGTCTTGCCTCAACCAATAAAAAAAAAAAAACTTGTTATCCTAATATCAGTACACGTTCCCAGAGACTGAGATCATGGACATTGTCTTTTCAGCTCTCATATTGTGTCCATCTTGTGGATTATTCACTACTGCACTGAACTCATTCTATGCTTTCTGTTGACAGTTTCAGTGTCTAAAGTGGTCCTGAAACACAAAGCCTCATTCTGTACAATGGGTCCTCAACACAAGGGGGCAATGATGCCCGGTAAAGCGAAAACATGCACATTAGGTCCGCTCTGCACAGGTACAGGGGACAGTACTGTTGGCGATGGAGTCAATGTCAGTGAACCAACAATACAGATTAAATGGGATGTCTCTAAATAGAAACCACGACTGTTTGCTGATGTGTGAATGAAACAACTAGAGGCTTACAGGCACCTAATCCCATGTCTCCCCTAGACACTATGGTCCACTTTGGGCCACAAGCTCAAATGTGGTGACTTGATAGAACACGGTTATTGTGAATAGGGAGAAATGACAGTTTGATCAACTGGTACCCCAAGCACAGCTAAGTGGGGGTGACTATGAGGGTATGAGGGCAACATTATGAAAAAAGACATTACAGAGGGGTTGCTTTTGAACACAGTCTTTAAACATATGAGCAGAAGGTCAATGGATGATCCTGGATGGCAGGTCATTCAAGGATGGGAGAGCTGTGTGTAAAGAAACGGGGATATGAAAGACCTGACCAATGGAGCAGCTGAAAGAGTGACATGTCAGTAAGCTAAGGTACAGGCAGGGGCTTTTAGCCACTACAGTTTCTCTGCATAGTTTAAGCTATAGTTTTTGTATCAGGGAAATATGGAGGATGTCAGCTGTGAAAATTGGCTCAAGATGCATAATCAAATCTATTATGCTCCCGCTGAAGCCTGGCCCATGTTTCCATAGAAACCCTTAGTTACACAAAGGGACCCTAGCCAGCCATTGGCAAGACTACTCAACTGTCCTGGAGGTCACTAGAGTAATGTCAGAGGGGAAAGTAAGATGCACTTCCTGGTGGCAACAATGATCTGGGACAGCAAAAGTACTGTTAGCTTGTAGCATATAGGACCGAGGAGAGAGAGCACCCTGGGGAAAGGACACGGAATCCTTCAGTCTCCACCTATGGAAGACCCTGCCTACCAGTAAGTCCGAACCTAGAACTCACTTGACATCCAGTACAATTCAGGGCACACAAGAGGAAGCCATTCTAAAAAAGTTTCTCTTAGCCTGGTAGTGGTCGTGCCTTGGATTCTAGCACTCAGGAAGCAGGAGCAGTCCAGAACTCTCTCTGTAGGTTCAAAGCCAGCCTGGCTACACAGTGAAACCCTGCCTGAAAAAAAAGTAATTATCAATTAATTAATGAAAATAAAATAAATAAAAATAAAAAAGCTTTTCTTTCACAGTTACAAAGCAATTGATATATGCCCATATATCAGCCTCCTAAAAAGGGGGCTTCCTAAATACCACCTTGTAGAAAACAATTCAAATGACATAGTAGCCTATTTTAAGTTTACACTGCTTGTCCCAAGGACCCTTAAGAAATCATTAGTTTCTCTATTAAGGCATGGAGGTGGGGAACTCTCCTCAGTTCACCCTTCTGGGTCTCCACTTGGCTTCCGTTTGCATAGCGCGCTGTCCTGTGGCATCTATCTTGTTCTTCTGTGTGAACTGTTCTTGGCCTATTCGCTGCCTGTTGAAAGCTAGGTCATCTCCTTTTAGCAAGACCCCCAGAAGTTACTTCTCCCATGATAAATCCCTTCTATTCTGGGTCTAGATGGGCAACATCTTAGTTCTAACCACTTTCCTGTTCCAACTCGTCCTGGCCTGGGCTGGCAGCTTTTCTGTGTCATCAAAGGCCTGCGACAAGTTCTCAATCCATCTTTTGGTAAAGTTCCTAGCATTCGGTTGGTGTGGTCCAGCAAAACAAAAACTCCACCACCCAAAGAGGATGCCCTTGAAGTTAATTGACTTGAGATAGTAAGGTTCACGTAAACAAGCATGCGCTGTAAATGAATACCATTGGGAATACAATCTGAACTTACCTGCCCCTAATTGACAGTTTAATTTCACTGTAATCTTTATTATGATAACTTCTGAACTTGTCATTAGAGTTACTGATAAAGTTGAAAGACTATTTCATCTGATTATAGTGTCTTAGGAAACACTTAATTATTAAATTCCATACCGATAATTAGAAAACCCTATTATTTCATAATGGGCTCAGCAATACTTACACAGGTACCCCTCAGTGACTGAGACAGAAACCACCGCCAAACACGCTGAAGTGAAATCTCAAACATCCAGTCATCTCTGCTCACCAACATGAGCTGCACTACTAGAGACAGAAGGTGTAAAATAAAAAGTCTGCTAAGCTTAGAAAATGCTAGTGCTCTGGGTATGAGTGACAGCTGGGTCTGATTCATTCATGACCTTCCCTATGATGGCTGGCCAAAGTTAAAGGTAGATAGAATAAGTAAAAGAAAAAAGAAGCTTGGATAGAGGTGTGCGTGCGTGTGTGTGTGTGTGTGTGTATGTGTGTGTGTAAATGTGCGTGTGTACGTGCGTGCATGTACGTGTCTGGGAGAAACAAGCCAAGGCTAAGGTCATAGCGAGGAAAATATATCTAATAGAACCATACCAAAATAAATTGTTGGACTAACAATAGAGGTTAGTGCAGGACAGGGGACCTTGGGAGGCTGGTAACCCAAGGACTATTTCCAACTGAGAGAGTCTATTATTCTAGCTAGACCGTGCCTGCCCAGACCCTGTCTGAATTCTTACCAAAACTGACCCCTAAACTCTACGAAGCAGTCCCTGGAGTCTGTCAGAGACACTTGCTGTCAGAGCCTCAGGGAGACTTAGGCAGAGCAAATTTCTTCTTGGGGACTCATACTGGCCTTAGGAAGATGACAGGGCCCGAGGACACTCTCCCTGAAGCTGCTTGGTTTGGTGGGCCCCAGGCTTTTTCTCCTGTCCACAGCCCACAAACCCACTATCCGTAGAAGCTATGGCGGCCAGCACAGAGCCCGACATATTGAAGGTTTAATATTACATGAATTTTAGAACCATCTTCCCTGGTTGACTGAAAAGAGCAGTCGAACTGGGGGTGGGGCGGGTGGGAGGTCTGCAAGGCACAGACACTACCAACAGGGGCTCTGACTCACAACCTGTTCAGCATAGCTCTGTCCTCTGGGCTTCCGGAAGCTCCCTCTTGTTAATGCACAAAGCCTCCGATGGTAGATGGTTTTGAAACAATAATCCCATAATTATTAATATAGCACAATAGTTTGAGCTACTTTCTCCTTTCGCCGGAGAATTTTAGACTTACTGTTTAGAAGACCGTTGCATTTCAAAGGCTAAGCATTTGGGAAGACGTTTTAGGAGATCCTATCCAATAACAGTGGCCCTTGAGGCTGGGTCGGTGTCACTAGGGTAGATAGGGAGGTGGAAGTTAAAGCCGGGTTCGTAATCCAAAGTAATTGAGAGAGGGGACTGGAACTTTGGGGTGATCTGGAGTTGGCACTAGTTTCAGTGTGAGTGTATGTCTGTAACTTGTGGGGATTGTGTCTTTGGGGGATCTTTTTGTTTGAAGTGGAAAAGTGGGTATGGAGGAATTCAAGCTTTCTAGTGAGTAACAAGGCAAGTGAAGTGGCCCAGGCCGAGGGGACGGCAGGGTTACTATGAGCCTAGGGACAATGCTAGCTCCTGGGTTACACTCCTAGTTAGTGCCTAGCCTGCTTAGAAGGGAATCAGGCTGCCTGGTGACAGCGGGGTGGGATTCCCGGGCCAGGGATGGGCGGGGCGGGGGCGGGGGCGGGGGCGGGGCAGGGCGGGGCGGGGCTGGAAGCAGACTCTCGGGCTGCGGCTGCCGCGGGAGAGGCTTCCACAGCTGCGGAGCGAGCGGCGGAGCGCGAGCAAGGCGGCGGCGGCGGCGGCCGTGGGGACAGCGGCGGCAGCGGAGGCGGCAGCGGAGGCGGCGACTCCGGTGAGCGTGGGGCGGACGCGGCTGGGGCGCGGCAGGGAGCGCGAGTGGGGACCCGCCGGGAAAGGCACTGTGGGGGCGCAGGGGCCTCCCGGGCTCGGGGCATGGTGGAGCGGGGCGACCATGGCCCTCCTCGCCTAGCTCGGAATGCCCTACAGCCCTGGGCAAGGGAGGCAGGCAGCTCAGACTCGGTCTTGAACCCTTCATCTTGATTCCCGAGCCAAAGGTCTGTGGGTCCGTCCGTTGCACGCGATCGCCGGGACTCTCTCCCGATTTTATTCCTTTTCCTGACGACTCCCTTCACCCTCCCAACCACTCCCACCCTCAAGAACCTTCATCCCCCAGAGCTATTCTTCAGGAGATCCCAATCTTACCCCCTTGGGGTTCCCTTGCGAGGACCCCTGCTCCCCATCTTTTTGCAGACCCAAGGCGTGGATGAAGCCCGCCCCGGGCCCATGCACACCTGGCCCCTTCTGCTGCCACCTGCCACACAAGTGCTTAGCCAGCACACAAACTGCTGTGCCCAGGACCTCGCCTCCGCTGCATCCACTCCTCCTCACACCAGAACTCCTACCTGGAGTCCAACAGGAGGAGACTTTTCCAAGCTGGAGCTTTGGGAACAATTTGACCCACTTCCCAAGGCGCTGGTCTCAGGCCAGCCGTGCTTTTTGGTAGACACACCTATCTTGTTTGCCAGCTGAGGGACTGACAGGAACACCTCCTGTCAAAATGTACCACCCCATCCTGAGTCCTTCTCCAAGCTGCTAAACTTTCTGGCCTCTGGCCACAGAGACAAGATCCAGGGCCTTTGCCATTTAAATCTGCTAAAGCTCCAACCCCCATCCCTGTAAAGATCCCAGAATTCTGTCAGCCATCCTTGGAAAGGAAGGGTCCAGTGTTGTTAGGGCCACCATTCTGGGTTCTGCGCAGATTTCTTCTCCTCTGTGGGTGATTCCCTGCCTGCTCCATAGAGAACCCCAGTTACAGGCACAGGCTCCCACAAGCTCAGTGGTTTCCCTATTAGAAACTTTCCCTATGGGCAGCAGTCACCACCTCCTCTGGATTGGCCCAGGCCATCTGCACAGTGTTGCGTCCCTGGGGCATGGAAAGCTGGGCTGGGACCATGCAGGGCTAGGACCCATGCTGGGCAGCAAGAGGAGGGTGTCGCCTGGCGAGGCCTCTACTTGGGAAGACCAGCCTGTTTGGGTTGTTCGCAGTCGGACTGAATTTCCCGTAGCACCTAGAGGGGTTTGAGGGTTTCTTGTCCAGAGAGGAAGCAGAACAGGGGCTGTTTTCCCTGCCTGTTTCTGACTGTCTTGTGTTGCTATGGTGACACTTTTGCCTCTTCCTCCCCCTGACTCTTCTGGGAGCTGGTTTTTATTGGTCTGTTGTCCTGTCTTTTATGGCTCTAATTTCTTCTTTCTACTTGCTCTGAAATAAACAGTCATAAACATGGGCACTGGGCCCAGGCTGGGGGCTGGCAGAACTTTACCTCCTGCAGGCCCCAAGCTCCTGCAAGGAGAGAAGACTGAATGGGGAAGGGTGGGATAGAACTACCATGCTCCTTCTGGCTCTCAGCTCTGGCGAGGAGACAGTAGCATCCCAGGTCGGGTGCATAGTTGGTAGCACACTCCTGGGGATGCCAAACACTTGTTGTAGCTCACTGGGGGTACCGTTCATGTTCAGGATAGTGTTCTAGGGGAGGGAGAGCCCCCACCCCCACTTTGCAGATGTAGCAACTAAGCCCAGAGCAAGCTGTTTTCCATGGGCTCCTGGTGCTGGGAGCACACAGTCAGCCCTCGGGGCTGATGAATGAAGAGATGTCATGGAGCTGACATATGGGTCTCCTGCCTTTCATTCTGTTGTACCCCGCTCTGTCTCCTGGAGGACTTCTGTGCATTGGAAAGTTAATTAGAAAGGGTTCCAGTCCCTTAACCCTGGTTGAGCCACTGCACCCCCTGGGGACACAAGCTGCCTTCCATGCCCTTTGTGCATCCTGAACCCTAAGTGCTGGAGACCCAAGTTGACAGCAGAGTGAAGCCACTTGTGACTTCCTGTTTTTACTCAGCATTGAGAAGAATTCAATTTGCTTGTGTTCCCAGAGCCTAGATGCAACCGGATGAGCCAAGGACACAGAGCCAGCCCCGAGTGAGGAGTTCCCAGAGAGCTAACCCATCCAGGGCCAGAGTATCACCCACTGTCTCCTGTCAGTGACACTCCTGGTTCCTTTTCTCTTCCTTGCATTTTCTCTGTCTCCCCTTTTCTATGGCAATGCTCTGGGCTTGTTGTGTGAGGGCAGCATGGGAAGACAAGGGCGTCAATGGCCTGCCTCGCTGCTCTCGGCCGTTGAGCCAGAGGAAGTCCGTTCACTCACACGGACCTCATTCTGTCTTTAAAGTGGACTTGACAGCATCTTTATCTTCCCTGCTTGATATTGCTTCTTCTTTCATGATGGCAGGGATTAGCCTATGAGGTACGTTTTGATTGGTTGGAAGGCCTTTACTTCCCTAGTTTATGTCGGGAGATCTCAGATTAAAGAGTTGCCTTGAGCCACTATTGGCAGGTTGAAAAATTTAGGATTTTAAGTCATAATCTCTCAAGGCTAGTGGCATTTTCCCAAGTTATTTTGTGGCGTGTTCACGGAACGCACGTCTTTGTTTCTCCACCTTATGTTTCTATACCAAATACAGGGCAGGTGTCCTGGAGCCACTACTCCCATTTGTAAACAGTGTGGTTGGTAGAAGAGAGAGACCTCGGGATAGAGTCTTGTCATGCAGTAGGAGGAACGATTTGACAAAGGGGACAGGTGATGTGGGCTCTAGAGATTGCTCTTGGTCAGGTAATCCCTTAGGGTTGACTCAGGCAGTCTGGGCTTTGTGGCTGAAGAGCAGCTACTGTTCTCTTGGGAAGCCCTCACTTAGCCTTCACAGAATGGGATTACTATCGAAGAGAGCACCTCCTTTAGTTCTGGTGAGCACACATCTAGGAGCCTGCCCTGCATACCTCTGGGACTTTTGACTCGTTCATAGTCGCCTCTGGTTCCTACTTCATCTTAGTTAAAAAAAAAAACCCTGGCTGTGGTGTCACAAGAATTCCAGGATTAGGTCTTAGGGTGGTCATAAATAGGGTGGTCATGATGTTGGTAGTCAGACATGAGTTGATGCTCCCTTCTGGTATGCTCTGGCTGTGGAATCCTGCAAGCCTACCTGACCTCACCGAGCCGCCATTCTTGTGACAGTTAAACTCCAATACTTACACTTGCCTTCTTTGGGATTCAATGGTCTTATGTGTTTACAGGGCCTGGCGTGGTGCCAATCTAACAATAAACTAGCTGCTATGTAGTTGTATTGATTGGAAAGGAGTTCTCTCATTACTGGGCCTCTGGGACCTCTGAAAATCCAAGGAGGTGGCTGTCTGGATGGGTCCAAGCCCTTGGACATCTATCTATTCATTATCTAGGGAAGTTAACGATTGCCCACCCTCAGACTCCTGGCATTGCCAGTTAATCGAGTTGTATGTCCCCAGATAAGCCATGTCCCCCACCACCAGGGCAAGTGCCAGTCTCTAACAGTTTTTGAAAGGCAAACAAACTTCCAGAGTTGCAGGAATGTGTTTTTTTTTCTATGAGAATCCTTTAAAATAAATGTTTGCAAAATAAATAAATAAATAAAATAAAATCCTGGACCTATCTAGCTGCCCTCTTATTTGTTTTTTAAAGGGAGAATATGTTTATGTATTTGCTTGTCTCTATTCTGCAGTTAAAGAAACGGGGGCAGGGAGGCAGAATCGCTTGCATGGTGTTGTCAGCTAGTAAGAGGCAGGGCCAGAATTTAAAACTGAGTTCCGCTTACTCTTGGTGCCATGGCATGCAATTTTGTCATTTTCTTGGCTGGCATGTCAGTGACCTAAAATAAGTGTGTTTGGAGACTATGAGTGGATTTTAGTGCGGGTGGAACTTGTCTGTGCCCTAACTCAGACTCATAGTAAATATTTAGAGAGTTTATTAGGGTTTCGCTCTCGGTGCAGCATTAACGAGGCTTTCTGCTGCTGGCTGTGGATTGCTTTCTACACATGGTGAATAGAAGAGGAGGTTGACATGTCTTAGTTAAAAAAGAAAGGTTGATGGAATTCAAAGTAGTTTTGTTCGCACAAGAATGGATCGTCAGTTTTTTTTATTAAAATAGCCCAAATCATTGGGCAGGCCAGGATTTTATCACCAGACATATGAATGGAAAACCTCACAAGTGTTTCCCTGGAATTTGATCTAGGGACAGATTATTCGACAGAGTTCGAGTAGTTGATGGCAGGCATGGGGACATGGAGCTTTTCAAAGGCGAAGGTGATGTGGATGTAGTCTGCCGGTACAGCTCATGTCTAGGAAGATAAGAGTGAGAAGTAGTTTGAGAATTGCTCCTTAGCCTTCCCTAGGTGAGACAGAAGCCAGCATTTCCTTAGGACCCCTGCTGCCCCCAGCTGCCCCAAGTGCTGAAGACAGGGACCACATTTCCCAGCAGTCTGCTTACCAGGTCCAGCTGAGCACTGTAGACAGATGCGTTTCTATTTGCAATTATCTCAGGGCCTGAGCCTGGTGTCTGCTTCTTTAATGACTTCACTTTCTAATAAAAATTCTGTATGGCATAGATAATTAGATTTTTAAAATGAAACTGGGAAATAGAGTGCCCCAAAGAGTTTAATTGCAGTTTTATGATGGATCAAGCATAAAAATGGGACCATTCATTCCTATAACAAATGCATACCATATGGGTCCTTGCCCTTTGCTTGCACAGGGTTGAGAGCATACAGATCAGTATGGTATCATCCCTGCCCTCATGTAGCCCTCTCTCCAAAGGCAAAAGCCCCTGTGTAAGCATGGCCAGAGTCGAAAAACAGTTATCTAGAGGAAGAGGGAAAATGACGCAACAGAGCCCATTCTCCTCTGCCAGTTAGGTGCCATCTGAGGGCATACCAGTTCTCTCTTGAATGCTGAAACACAAAAGCATGTGCCCAGGAATAACAGCTGGGTTCAGCAGTCAGCATCCAGTCTAACATCCAGGATAAGGGAGGAGCAAGCCCCTGGGCTTCTATAAAACAGGAAGGATTTGATGGCTTGAAAAGACTTTTTCACATCTAGTCTGATGGTCTTCAAAACCCTTGTTTGTTTTGCCCGGTGACCAATGAGGAAGGGAGACCTAGAAGCCTTAGTGAGCCAGCTTTGTTGAGAGAGATCTGGGACTGGAGAGAGTCAAGAGTACTCCCAGGGAGTGCTCTCACACCAAGGAAACCTGCTCCTTCCAAGGAAGGGAGCCATTTCTAATGGAGCACCGCCCCTACCAAGCGATTGAAAGTCAAAGCTGATGAGAGCAGAATAGCAAGGGTGGTCACTGGAGCGGAGCCGAGCTAATACCATATTCCGTAGCTTCCATTATGGTGAGTGGAGAAGGGAGTGGGCCTCACAGATGCCTTGCCCCCTAGAGTTGTTTTCTATTATAGTTAATACTCTTAAAACCTTGGCAAGGAAGCTCGGTGAGTCTCACCTTTTTAACTAAATTAGAAGGAACATGAGGAGCAATGGTCAATATACTTACCCCAGAGCCTTCAACTTCTTTTAAGGTCATTGGCAACTAGGTCTTGGTCCATGTAGGAGCAGTGATACAGCTGATTCCTAGCCAGCCAAAGGGGAGAGGCAGGTGACAGGGGCATCAATAGAGTCAGAAAATAACAAGAATCTTATGTCTGCACCTCTATTCATTCACGTGCAACCTGGGCTTTGACAAGTTATGCCCCCTCCCCCAGTCTTCTGTTGCCTTTGGTACTATGTGGGCAGCAGCATTTACGGAGCAATAAAAGATCTTGTTAGCAAGATAATACCAAGCATTTGATAACCGTCTGTGCAAAGTTCTGAGGAACATACACAGCAGATATTAGCTCTGCCTCGTGGCTGGGGAGGCTGACATCCAGAGGTATCCATGGGAACTTCCATAATGTTGCCTCACTAGGAAGATGACATAATTCAGAGCCATTTTCTTACCCTCACCCACATGGTAAATAAGGACCACATATGTGTGAGAAATGTGGTACTTGTAAGGAAGTGTCTTGGTAAAATACTTACCTCACAAAAGTAGCAATTCCATGCTACCCAGAAATGTAGCCATACTTTAAAACTGCAGTACATCTAATCAAGTTTATGTTTTAAGTATTTCCCTGGGACTGACTGGTATCTTTCAGGGTATCCCTTGCTTAGCCTGCCTTGTCAAAGGATGTGATCTGATAGCAACGAGCTGAGCCTGAACTCAGCCTTGCTGAGTGGCAGGGATGCCTCCCCTCTGGGGCAGGTGTGGTGCAATGGAGTTCTTCATCCTCTTCCTGGGGACAGCTGGCGACCCTGGGAATACAACAGAACCATGTTCTCAGCTTACAGAATAACAGGGTCAGATGTGCATGAATACCTCTGGTGTCTTTCTTTATTCTGGCTTGAGGGGGGTATGGATGGATGATGGATGAATGGATGGATGATGGATGGATGGATAGATGGATGGGTAGGAGATATTAGAATGGGGGAGATGCAGAGGAGAAAGAAAGTAGTGAGAGCTGAAAAAGGAGATGGGGGAGAGAGAGGGAGAGGCGGCAGGATACTCAACAGCTCTGAAATCCAGAGTCATGCCGTGTGCATGTACCTGGGAGTCCTTGAGCAGCTGCTGCTGCTGCTGCTTCTTCTTCTTCTTCTTCTTCTTCTTCTTCTTCTTCTTCTTCTTCTTCTTCTTCTTCTTCTTCTTCTTCTTCTTCTTCTTCTTCTTCTTCTTCTTCTCCTTCTCCTTCTCCTTCTCCTTCTCCTTCTCCTTCTCCTTCTCCTTCTCCTCCTCCTCATCATCCTTCTCCTCCTCCTCTTCTTCTTCTTTTCTTTCTTCTTCTTCTTTTTTTTTTTTTTTGCAAACAGATATGATTTGGAATCTCAGCACTTCCCTTGGTCAGATTCCTTAAGTCTGTAACGTTTTCCACCTTATGAATGGCAGCTGATGATGTTTGTGTCTCATGGATGGTATGAGGAATACGTGGATTAAATATTTATCAGGTTCTCTTTTTGCTTGGGCTTTGAATAGAATTTGTTTGAAAAGTTTTGGCAGCTCTTGTAGGTTCCTCTTCAGGGCTCTGATGCGACGAGCAGCCACAAAACTCCCCAGGCCACAACCCATCAGTGAATGTCCCTTGAAAAGTCCCTTCTGACCGGCTCATCATTTCTGTAGCCTGTGAGCCTTCATTCCCTAGCACACACGCAATAATAATAATAACTTTGGGTACTGATGAATCCTAACAAGGAAAACTGAGATTTGGTCTATGCACATTTTATTACCACCCTCCTTGCTCATTTCCTTGTTTCTCAAACATGTCCCTCCCACTCCTGCCCCTCCCATGTATTGAGATTTCAAACCCATGTTCTTGAATACTTTTCACAAGTAAGAAAAAGGTTCAAAAGCTTTTTTTCCGAAATATTCAATCCTCTTATTATTGAGTCCAAAAATCTAAAACTAGGGTTATTTTTCCATCATTCTTTTGGAAGTAAAAGCTAGTCCAATTTTACATGAGACTCTTTATAATGCTTACTAGTCTTTCTTGGGATAAATGAGTTTTTTTTAGTGCAAAGATGAGTGCTGTAGACCATCCTGGGGGGTGCACATAATAGGTAGTTATGCACTTTGTTCCTTTCTCAAATATAGAGAACTCTGAAGTTAGAGGCACATCTGGTCTGAGAAAAGCATTTTAGTGAGGACTGGTGGGCCTCTATTACAAAATGCCAACAGGAGCTCACAGTATAGGTCAAATGTCCACCTCAGGGAGAGTGTGATGTGCCAACTAGGTTTGTGGCGTCTTGACACAAGCTAGTGTTGCGGCAAGATAATCGTCCAGGAATAGGGACCCTCGGTTGAGAAAAGGCTTCCGTCAGATGGACAGGTAGGCAATTCTATAGGGTATTTTTTGAATTGGTGTTGGAAGCTACCCCAGAGTTGGTGGCCCGGGGTGGTATAAGGAATCGGGTTGAACCATCTAGTACACGGTGTTCCTCAATGGTTTCAGCATCAGTTCCTAACTCCAGGTTCGTTCGTGCCTGAGTTCCTGCCCCGACTTTCCTCAATGATCGGCTGTGATTGGGACATGTAAGCCGAACAAAGCCTCTATTCCCCACATTGCTTTAGGTCATGGTGTTGGTCACAGCAATGGAAAGCAAATTAGAATAGATAGAATGGTCACGTAGTTCATTTCATTCTAATCAAAAACATCGATGGCCACTTTCATTTTTTTCCACTTTAAATAATTAGAAATGCGTATGTGAACTTACCATCAGGAATAAAGGAGTAATGACAATTTGTTCAAACATGGCTTCCAAAAATTTCAAAAGGACTCAGTAGTTTTCAAGGAGAACTTTCTTAGAAGTATAAGAAATATACTTAAGTTGGAATTTTGTTGTTGTTTTCTTACCAAGTGTGGCATTAGGGGAAGATAGAAGGGACTTTTTCCGTCTGACTCATCACTTTAGCCTTGTGAGGAGGAACAAGACTTGAGAAGGAACATGAGGAAGTGAAAAGCCCCAAGCCAAGCGTGAGAAGGTCTCGGCACTCACTTTAGGCTAGCTCTTAACTTACTGAGTGACCTTGGCCTTGTTACTTCCCTCCTCTGCCTCCTAGGAACCAAGTTGAAGTAAATCCCCCTTATCTCCTTGAGCCTGGGTGTAGGTGTCAGGGTCCCAAAGGATAGTGATAGAAGATGTACGTCCTAACTGCCTGCCATTTGTCTCCTGTGGCCTCCGTTCAGATAGAGGGACACAAGGCAGAATTCCAGAGTGTTGTCTCAGTATCTTCTGGAACCTTCCTTTTCTCTTAACAGTGATCATTCCATGTTTTTCTAATACAGTTTGTCCCCAGAGCCTCCATTGTCATTCACTGTCATTCCTAGGGACAGTACTATCAAGGTCTTGCTGGCTGGTGGACCAAGGAAACAGTGACCATAGCCCCAATGTGGCCATTGTCAGTGTTGCCTGGTTCTCTATAATAACAAGTTAAAACACACTGGGCATTGTGGTGCCAAAGAGAGTTGCAACAGTTCCCTGTTACAGAACGGAGCTAGGTCTGCTCAGGAAAGTGAAAAGCTGTAGAGTCTATGTTTGTAGTCCACATCTGTGTGGGGGACAGTTAGGCAAAGAGATTGTGTACCTGATACCCAGGGAATCCCTCAGCCTCTCTCTTTGTTTTTGGAGTTTATGCTTACTGTGTATCATAATTCTGACCTTTGCCCCGTTGGAAGTTGAACCGTATTCCAGGGTCCATGAGGTGTGACAAGCTGTAGTTCTCCATTCTTGAGGGGCCTCACCTGATCATCTGGAGGGGATTGTTCCCCAGCAGGAATTGTGACAGGATCTAGGGCTACAACAAAGCAGAGTGTTTTCACGGGACAGAAATGACAGTAGGGTCAAGGGTCTTCAAAGCCTTTGACTGGTACAGACTATGGAGTCTCAGGGGGGGCTATAAACAAGGCCCATTTCGGAGCACAATTCTAGCGTGTTAGACTTTATGTGTCACAGAAGCCTGTGTGTATGTATGTGTGTATGTGTGTATGTGTGTGTGTTATTATATACAAGTTTGTTTACTTCTTTAGAGTGTGAGCTGTGTGTGTTACCCATATATAAGTGTATTTATTGTTTGCTTATTTTGTGTGTGTTACTTGTATATAAGTTTATTGTCTACTTATTTACTTTATGAGTATGTGTGTCTTACTTATATAAAATTAGTATAAATTTACTTATTTAGTGTGTGAGTGTATGTGTGTGGCGGGGGGAGAGACAGAGAGTGATATGTGTATGTGTCTGCCATGACACTTGGGTGGTGGAATTGACAGGAGACCCTGTGTGAATTGATTGTAAACCACGTGGTTTACAGGGATCAAGCTTAGGGCACTGGGCTCAGCAGCAGCGTCTTCCTTAGCCTTCTGAGTCCTCTCACCAATCCTGGTATGCTCATGTAATGTGGTATATGTGGGAGGTGGGGAAGTGTGTAGTGAGTGTGTGTTTAAGGGTGGTTACTTGAGTGTGTCAGTTACACAATTGTAATTACAATGTGTGCTCACATTCAATTAATGGCTGTCCTGTTAATGGGTATGTGCAGGCTGGGAGCACACATGCCATGTGATGGGTGTGTGAACGTATGAGAGATGAGAATATGGATGCACTGCACGGGTGTGCTTTATGTGTGCTGGGTGTGAACACAGGAGTGCATATTGGGGGTGTATGTGGTGTGCACGGGCACGTGTGTGTTCTTTCAGATCTATGGCAGTCCTGCTTCAGGCAAGGCCCTCCTAGGTTTTATAGGCATGACTTTGGCTCAAGCCAAACCCTTGCTTCTGTGTGGCTGATGAATGGAACTGACTTCTCAAGAGCTCTTGCAGCTGAAGCAGAGAGACCTTCTAGGACCTTTCAGGCCCCAGCGACCACAGCAAAAGGCAAATGAAAGTGGCAGAATGTGGTTAAATCAAACTTCCTAGGAGATATTTCTAAATCCTTCTGCGAAAGAGACAGAGCCTTGTAAAAATTCATTCTAAATGTATTTAAAAATTCAAAGCATTTTGAGTATTGCTTTAAAAAAATAAAGAAACTCGAACACAGGTTTTCAAAGAATAGGGGACTAAGTTTCTATTACATTTCGGGGAACATAGACTATTGGCAGAAGTGGAAAAGAAAGGGGTAAGGGGCACGCAGAGGAGAAACTGTTGAGTTGTCTCTGCCCTAT